ATATACCACACTTTTCTCTTATCATACAATCTCAACGTGGCATTTAGAGTCGTCAAAACATAATGAAGGTATTTTAATAATGATGATTAAAAATATAGTCTTATTCTTAATAAATATTAATATAAACTTATTAAAAGGACATTATTTTTGTTTACAATTCAGCGCTCGGCTACCATGCATCATGCACGAGAACGAAAGTATTGTTGGGTCTTATTATATTGGTATAAACAAAATATTATGTAAGTGGTCGGCCATAAAGCTCGAAGAAGAGTCAAACAATTTAGAGAAAAGGCTCTAGAGTGCAAGCCTCGCCCGGTTTATGAAGGAAAGGGCAGTCTACCACTGAAAGGGACGATCTAGTAAGACGTGTAAGAAAATGATGGATGCACGTTGCTCAAGATTTTCTTTTCGTTGCGTCCCTTGGACGAGGCCTAAGTTTATTATTGGTCTTATGAAAGACTGTAATGATAATGATGATAATGATAGGTTTACGCATAATATTACTCATATATATATTTAGATGTATAAATACATTACACTCACATGCAATAAAATCAATCAATAAAGATTATTTCAGTAAAAGATTATTTAATTTCATTTTATAAAACGCCTTCATTACTTTTCTGAACAAAGAACAAAAGAACAAGAACAAAAGTGTTATACCTACCTCGTGCAATCATTAGTTTTGAGGTGAATTTTAATTCATATTTAAAATATGAAATAGAGCTAGTGCTTTGTCTTTACTTTTTTTTTAAATTTAAGTTTCGAATTAGAAAATCACAATTTGTAAATTAGTTCTTCATTTATTGTGAAAATAGCGCCATCTTAAAATTTTTCGAGGTTGATCTTAGTTTCGCTGTTTAAAGCTGTAAAAAATCATTGGACATATTTAATGAAATGTGAAGTTAGGTGTGTAGCCGGAAATTCGCTTACTATTCTATATAGGGATAAATGGAAGACCTTGCAAGATGTGGCCGGTGGCCCGCGGTTCGTAAGAACTCTCGCTAATATCAAAATTATTAGAGAGCAAATTCATCGAAATCCTTATCAGACTCAAAACAAATTAACTGTTTAGGCTTATATATCGCGATATCGGTAAATTGGATTCTAAAATTTGACTTTAAATTAAAAATCTCCATAAATTGCTCCTAAAACGACATCGGATGAGAAGATATTTACCGTTGAAGAAGAGTTTAACAAACAGAATGATAAAGCTTACGCCTGAAGTTCGGAGTGTCTCGAGATTTCCGTAGCTAGCTTCGTGGGGTATCACTTCGTTTCATTTTATAAGCAAGACTACAAAGTTAAGACAAAAAATTATCAGAACGGTATTTTGGAAACTGAAACGTTTAGATGTACGCTATTCGCTGACAAATACTGGGATTATGTAGCATCCCTTAAGGCTAAGTCTACCCAACATTGGATGTAGATCTATTTACCAGGTTTTTTTCGCAGAGAAGGTTGGCTGTTTTTGAGACCCGACTTAAATCTTCTGTATAATTTTTTATGGATTGAATATAAATTCAATTCATAAAAATAATATAAGGCGTGCAGATAATCTCATTCATGCCTGGATTCCCTTAAGCGAGCCATAGGCAAGGAATCGAAGAATTCGAAGACTGGTCATTTCAAATGAACAATATTTATTTTTAACTATAGGCGTAACAGATTACAAATATATATATATATATATATATATATATATATATATATATATATATATATATATAAAGTTTTTGTGCATTTATCGTTGTATATTTAAATATGCCGTGTAGTTGCGGTTTAGAATATCCACTACCCCATATCTTCCCGTGGGTGTCGTAAGAGGCGACAGAGGAAGACAGGCAGGATATGGGCAGCAGCATCTTCCTGATAACAAATGTGTTATAATAAAAAACTGCGGTTGCCAACCCGGTCAACTATGGCAAATATCCCCCCATGAATAAAGACGCCAAAAAACGGCCCCCAGACCCCGGCGGCCCCGCTATTTCTGGCTACGGTGCGACCATGGTAACGGTGGGCCAGGGGGTGCTAAGAATCTCCGGTGGAGGTTCGGTTGCCACCTACGACGACTCGACCTGGTAACATATAACGCACGCACTCTGAGGACTGACGAGAAGATACTGGAGCTGGAAGAAGAGGTAGACAAGTTGCGCTGGCATATTATTGGATTATCCGAGGTCCGAAGAGAGGGGGAGGATACGGCAATCCTCGAGTCCGGCAACTTGTTCTACCACCGGGAGGGCGACCATCTGTCCCAAGGAGGTGTAGGATTTATCGTCCACAAGTCTCTCGTCAACAACGTTGTAAAGATTGGGAGTGTGTCGACGAGGGTCGCGTACCTGATACTCAGAATCACCAAACGGTATTCACTGAAGGTCGTACAGGTTTACGTACCAACCTCGGCACATCCCGATGAGGAGGTGGAGGAAATGTATGAGGATATTTCCAGAGCCATGCATTCCTCCAAAACTCACTACACGGTGTTGATGGGAGACTTCAACGCAAAACTAGGCACAAGAGAAAGCGGTGAGCTGAAGGTGGGGAAATTTGGAGTAGGGCAACGGAACCGAAGGGGCCAGCAGCTGGCCGACTTTATGGAGAAAGAGGTACTCTTTATGATGAACTCTTTCTTCCAGAAGCGGCCCCACAGGAAGTGGACCTGGTCGAGCCCCGACGGTTTGACAAAAAATGAGATTGACTTCATTATGACGACCAGACGCCAACTGTTCAGTGATATCTCAGTGATCGCAAGGGTGAAAACTGGCAGCGATCACCGAATGGTTAGAGGCACACTGAACTTAAATGTTAAGTTGGAGAGGTCTCGTCTAATGAAGTCAACGCTCCGTCCCCCTCGTGCTCTAATCCAGAATCCCGAAACCTTTCAGCTCGAGTTACAAAACCGCTTTCAGTGCTTAAAGGATTGCAATGCAGTGGACAATATGAATGACAAGCTCGTGGAAACTGTCCATGCGGTCGGAGCTAAGTTCTGCAAGACCCGCCGCAGAAGAACGCAAAAACTCTCCGATCACACTCTTAATCTCATGGCTGTTAGATGGGAGATGAGGCTGGAATCGTCAACAGATTTGACAGCATACAGGCAACTGAACAGACAGATCTCCAAATGCATGCGGCGAGACTTACGAAACTTTAATACTGCTCGTATTAAAGAAGCGATCGAGCGGAACTAGGGCTCCAAAGTCTTTGCCAGAGATCTGTCTGCCAGAAGGAGCCAACTGTCAAGGCTGAAGACTGAGTGTGGCAACATCGTTTCCGGGACACCTGAGATTCTGAGTGAGATTGAGAGGTTCTATGGGCAGCTGTACACATCATCGTTGGAGCCACACGCAAGTGGGAGTAACGATCCAAGAGCAAGTCTTATCCGACACTATTCCGATGATATCCCGGACGTCAGTCTGAGCAAGATTAGAATGCCTCTCCACCACCTTAAAAACGGCAAGGCCCCGGGCAAGGATGGAATTACAGCGGAGCTTCTGAAAGCGGGTGGAACGCCGGTACTTGAAGTCCTTCAAAAGCTCTTCAATTCCGTCCTCCATGGTGGCACTACTCCAGAGGCGTGGAGCAGAAGCGCGGTGGTCTTGTTTTTTAAGAAAGGCGACAACGCTCTCTTGAAGAACTACAGACCGATTTCCCTTCTGAGCCGCGTCTACGGGCTGTTTTCGAGAGTTACGAATCGTCTCGCACGCAGACTCGACGATTTCCAGCCTCCCGAACAAGCCGGTTTCCGAAAAGGCTTCAGTACCATAGACCACATACATACCCTTCGGCAAATTGTACAGAAGTCCGAAGAGTATAATCTGCCACTTTGCCTGGCGTATGTGGACTATGAGAAAGCCTTTGATTCCGTCGAAATTTGGGCGGTGCTACAGTCTCTTCAGCGGTGCCTAGTTGACTGTCGGTATATTGAAGTGCTGAAGTGTTTGTACAGTAGAGCTACGATGGCTATCCGAGTACAGAACCAGAGTACGAAACTTATCCAACTGCAGAGAGGTGTAAGACAGGATGATGTTATATCCCCGAAACTCTTCACCGCTGCGTTGGAAGACGTTTTCAAGCTACTGGACTGGAAAAGATACGGTATTAACATCAATGGCGAGTACATCACTCACCTTCGATTTGCCGACGATATAGTCCTTATGGCAGAATCGCTGGAGGACCTTAGCACTATGCTCAGTGACCTCAATGGTGTCTCCCAACGGATAGGTCTTAAGATGAACATGGACAAAACAAAGATCATGTTTAATGTCCATGTCACACCTATGCCGGTAGTTGTTGGGAGCACTATGCTCGAATTTGTTGACGAGTACGTTTACCTGGGACAAATAGTCCGATTAGGTAAGTCCAACTTCGACCGAGAGGTCAATCGACGGATTCAACTTGGCTGGGCAGCGTTCGGGAAATTACGACACATCTTCTTGTCAGGTTACCTCAATCTCTGAAAACTAAAGTGTATAACTAGTGCGTGTTGCCAGTGATGACTTACGGATCTGAGACGTGGTCCTTCACCGCTGGCCGTATGAAGACGCTCAAGGTCGCTCAGCGAGCTATGGAGAGGGCTATGCTCGGAGTTTCACTGCGTGATAAACTCAGAAATGAGGATATCCGCAGTAAAACCAGAGTGACCGACATAGCCCAACGGATTAGTAAGCTGAAGTGGCAATGGCCGGCCATATAGCTCGAAGAACCGATAACCGATGGGGAAGAAAGGTTCTCGAGTGGCAGCCTCGTACCGGTAGGCGTAGTGTAGGGCGACCCCCCACTAGATGGAGTGACGACCTGGTAAGACATGCAGGAAGTCGATGGATGCAGGAGGCTCAGGACCGTGCTTTGTGGCATTACTTGGGGGAGGCCTATGTTCAGCAGTGGACTTGTGAAGGGCTGTAATGATGATGATGATGATGATTTAAATATAGTAAATGAAAACTAAATTATAAAATTATTACGTTTTATTATTTTGAACTAATATTTTAATACTATTATTAACCAAGAAGTGAAGCAACAACACCCGGCGGTACTGCGCCTCCAGGTCCTTGCTCGATTGTTGGATTGAAACCGTTTTCGTCGGCAGTATAGGTAATTGTATACAACACGTTGTCAGGTCCAAGCCACGAATACGATCCCTTCATGGCTACAAATTCTTCATCTGTTCCAGCGTTCCTTAGTTCACCCTGTTCTTCCTTCTTAGTGCCATCGCTTTGCTCGAAACTAAAAATAATATAAAGAATAAGTGGATTAAATTATTCACAAATAGATCACAAATATAGAAATAAAATTTCCCAACTCCTAGGCTAACCGAAAATATTTAGATATTTTGTGTTGTAACCACATAATTTTTGTAATTTTTCTTTAAGCAGTACGGCTGTCATCAAATAATTTTCAAATATCTCTATGTCCGATATAAACATACGTAGGCGACTTAGAAAGTTTTTCAATATTAAAAAGTTTAAAAGTTTTATTATTAGATATTTTCAAAGAACTCTCAACCAGCATCTATACTATACATAGTTAGCGTAAGTCTAGCGTCTGAATGCATTTTTAAAAACTTTTTCCAGTCCGCTCCAAATACCTCCATAATGTTCTACGAATCCTACTAGCACATCTTCCGGTAATTAAACTGTATCCCTTACTGCCGATTTTAAATTGAAGAATTAAAAATAGGTTAGGGCTGTAAGGAGGGTAACCCTAAAGCTTAACTAGTGTACCTTCGTATTGAACTTCGTATCGTACTCACCGTACGTGAGCTTATGGTCATGGTGAAGCAGTGACTCGCGAAGTCCTGGGTTCTGCCGTTTGTCGCTCACAGCAGTCAACACTTCTGGCAGGCATTTAATAATTTACCATTCAACATTGATGCTACTATGATTTCGTTAATAATTGACACAAAATACCGCGTAAAAGTTTAAAACCCCGCGATCAAATTTTCCGTGCGCTTTTCGATCGCTAAACTTTGGTAGGCGTATGTTCATACAGCCAAACGTGGACTGACGCTTCGTTTCTGGTTCGTATTGATAAATACGAGATTCATCACATATAATACCTTAACAAATATACCCAGGCGAGCCTGCTACTAATTTAGTAATCATGGCATGGCACCATTACACGCGAGTTTGCTTTTGAGCATCGATGAGATTGTGCGCCTCTCAACGAAAAACTATTCCTCTCACGCGAAGGTGATTTGAGATTCATTCTACAATATGTGTTTATGTGCTATAGCAACCATTTACCTTTCTCCATCTCTTAAAGTTAACAAAGGGCAACCACTCTCAAAGTTAGTCGACTGTACAAAAATTTATTATACCAGCGGTGTTGTTGTACAAGCACTGGCTTCGGCATAGACTCGAATCTAGAACCTGGGAGTAATCAGTAGGATCATTTTTTTTAATGAAAATGGTAACCCCATCTAAAAGTTACAAAATTTACGTTATAAATTAATATTTATTAATTTGTTTTTGATTTGAAGGTTTTCAAAGATGATGAAGTGATATGAGTAATAATAGGCAGATTATCGTAAGGAAATTACTGTTTTGCGTGTACTCGTAGAGTTCAAGGCTTCAAGGTATGTCCGCATTCCAGCATAAGTCTTTAATTTAAGAACACAATTTACTCTTCTCTTTTAGGGTATTATATGGAAACCTTAGTTATTTTTATTTTTCATGTTGTGTGATTGTGGCGATATTATTTCACACAATTACCTGTTATGAAAAGTTGTTCCTACATAAGACTAATTTTTACGGAATTTATCGCGTATATCAACTTATTTTATATTCCCGACGTTTCGAGCACTTTACAGCACCCACGGTCACGGGGAAGCTGAGGTTTTCGACGTCTCAATGTCATAGTTAACCACGGCTCCCTCCAAATACAAATTATTATTTTTGTTCCAATCCACGCAGTATGAATTTATATTATCTTGAAGTCTTGCAGTTGTGTACTTGGGTTAGGATTTAATTTTATTAATTGTAGGATCCCAAGCAGATGGTAGCATCCAGTCATCTTCTCTACTGAAATCCCTTCAAGATACTGTAAGTTCATACTACGTAGATCAAAACGAAAATTAATAATTTTAATCTGGAAATAACCGAGGTTAAGCATGGCATTGGCATGTCGAACACCTCAGTGACCATGGGTGCTGTGAAATGCTAGAAACGCCGGGAATATAAATTAAGTTAATATACTCGATAAAACCCTTAAAATCTAGTTTTATGGAAATGTGTAGTGTTCGCGTAAATACTTATATAAAAACTCGACAAAGTTATTTGATAGTGAAAGTTATTTCTATACTTTTGAATACTAATTTTGATAACGCACTTAACGGGAACCACAGTGTTTTTGAACGATGTTATATAGCTGTGACTGTTTATGAGTCATAGAAGATTTTCTGTGAGACTTTGTTTACGGTGGTACCTGAAATGCGACTTCGTTATAATATCATCAGAATAATTATTACAGCACATCATAAATCTACTATTGAATGTAGGCTTCTCTCACAGATCGACAAATATCTCGGTTTTGAATGACTTGCATCTGTGTAGAGCGGGGTAATCCAACACTTACTTGCTTTTTACATCAATTGTCGGTATTTCGAAAAACGGTTGACATAATGCCACACAGGATTACTGATGTGCTAGTTAGTCTTACTTTGATGTGGATGTCGCCGTTATAGGTTTCACCATCCAAAAAAATCTTGAGCATATCCTTATCCAAATCTCGCTGAGTAACTTTGACTTTCTTTATGCTTCAAATAACACGTACCACGTCTTGGTTCCGTAAGTCATCATTTCATACTAGGCAACATGCACGGGTATTAAAATCTTGTTTTCAAATTCTTTAGATATAGTAGACAAGAAGATATGTTGTAATTTCTTGAACGTCCAATTGAGTTAGATCGTTGGTTGACCCCTAGGTCGAAGTTGAACTTACCTAATCGTACATTCTAATCCAGGTATATGTCATAACTGTAAGTCTCTCATATATCAAATTACAGGTATGAGGTTCTTAATTTGATGGTTGTAATTTTGTAACAATTAGTTTTTTTTTGTTTGAAATATGAAGTTAATATTTTAGGATAATTGCGTGAGATTTCTTAAGTTCTTAAATATTCAACGATTAAATTGCTAATAAAAAAAATTTCTTTAGTTTTTTGTAAGAAACATTACCTTTTGTATCCTGGCCTCGTATTTATATGTATTACTATATTACTACTATATATTTACTATATTATTACTATAGTATTGAAAAATTAAGTTGCTAGGTACAAAATTTGTTTGTATGAGAGTTCGAAGATGTTTATTACTTTTTTATAATTTATGCTATACGTTAAAAAGCGATATTTAAAATTAAATCACTTTTGCGCGCTTTGTGACTTTCTGTTTGTATAAAGATACGTACGCAAAATTGTAAGATCCCAGTCCATCGTTGTCAGAATCGAAGCGTAGAAGTTGAACTTCTTCGGCATTCTGTTTCGGACGCTGTGCGGCCTGAGGTGCAGCTGCCACGATGGCTACCAGACTTAATAAGGCAAACTGAAATCAAGATAGTTTTACCAAAATATTGTTTCTAAATATTCGTACACTAACAAAAGAGCAACAGAATCTAAATTTTTAAGTCAATACTATCTTTGTATTATTATTTTCTTCAAGATGTGTTTTGGTTACGAATTATCCGTTTGCAGGTATAAGACCTAAGTATATAACAGATGGCTAAAATTAGTTCTCCTTGTAAAATTGTTGCTTGTATCTTGTATAAGAATTTATAATTATGAATTTCCTAAGAACACAGTCATCCAAATAAATTTCTATACCATTACAGACAGTTTATCAATAGGCATCTCCCATAGATTGCGTCTTAGAATATATAATATGAGGTTATATTATATATTTCTCATAGTTGACATGTTTGGCAGTTTGGTTGGCCACCGCAGTTTTTATTTTATTTTGTAGTTGTTATAAGGAAGACACTTCTACCCTCTTACGATAACCATAAGATGATATGGGATATGAGATATTCTTTTACGCGGTTAAATTTCAAATGAATCGAATGTTCAAAATTTAAATGGTCAAATTAAGATTCTATTGTTAAAAAACGTCTTTAGTTGAGAGATAGTTTCCACTGTCGCACATAAGCTGATTAGCTTAAACTACTCCCACACATTAAAAGGGATAGCGTGGGAACTGTACTCCATATTGATTTTCAGATTTAGGAAAAGAAGAACTGTAACTGAACTTTCCGCGTTATTCATTCCTAAGACCTCGGGTTTCAACACTTAACACTAATAACACATTATAATTAATATCAATTTTACTTGTCACTTCTAACTAATGGAAACAACACTTTTAAAGTTTTAAAGTTGCTATTTTACCTACCAGTTTCATGATTAGTCACGAGTACGAACTTCACTTAATCGATTCAATCGAAATGTGGATGCATGCCTTATGCAAACTACATATTATATACTTTTCTGAACATCTTATTGCAACATAGTTGTTATTATTTGACGTATATTTATCTCGTCATGTTTTGTATGTGACCACTCCTAAGGTGATGCGACAGCGAAGTTAAACCTTGGATGATTTGAGGACAATTATGACAGGTATCGTTTGCAATACTTTTTATTTAATAAGATGTGCTTTTAAGCTCGATCGTTTTTAAAGTTTAATTGTTTGTGATTTTTGTTTTTTTTTTTAATATTTCGGTATGATCTAAGATCCGCAAACAACATTAGTAAATGTTTATACATGGTAGGGCTCAGGGGTGACAACACATTTTTGATTCTTAATCAAGGATAGATGTGTGTAGATCTGAAATATGTATTTGGGCACAGTATATTCTTACCATCGTGTGAATTGTGTGTTCGTTTGTAACCCTTACTCTATAAAAATCTGTCGTATGTTTTGTATAGAAACACTGTATAATATTATTTTTGTGTATTTATAATTGCGTTGCCAGCGTTCTTGGTACTATATCACGAAAAGTAGGACTATTTAAAAATTATTTTTGTTTTTAGTATCTTTTATTGTAATAAATATTACATATGTTATGTGATGTAAATAAATATTAAATATAATATCAAGAGAAGAAGATAACACTGTGCTTTATTTTATACCAGGGAACTACTTTAAGTTTTATTAGTTGATGTCATTTACTTAATGTTTATCGTATATACATTTAATAGGTCTAACCTTTTGGTGTAGTCAGTATCAAAAACTTAAACGGACATATCATGACTGATACGTACAAATATGTTTGCGCCGTACAAAGTATTATACATTTATTTAAATTAAAAGTTGCTATTTTTAAATAGCAGGCGACATAGTAAACGCCATAACTTTATTGTTCCCTAGCTCCTTTCTGCGGCTTTGATCGCGTGAACTAATATTATATAATAATAATAAAAATCTTTATTTCTCTCTACAATTGCAGTTTATAACATCATAACATCTAATTTTTTTTTAAGTAACTTACAAATAATAGTTGTAGAGACTGGTGACAATACTAGGATTCCCTGTGCTACAGCCACTAGGCCTCCACCACCGGACAAATAATCATGGAAAGTATGTACTCATGAGAAGTGTATTTGAAAATAAATATAATATAATTTTTAAAAGAGAAAAAAAAAACAAAAAAATGTGTGTATGCAAGCGTGTGTGTATGTGTGTGTGTGTGTGTGCGTGTGTGTGTGTATGTGTGTGTGTGTGTATGTGTGTGTGTGTGTGTGTGTGTGTGTGTGTGTGTGTGTGTGTGTGTGTGTGTGAGTGTGTGTGTGTTCAGTATGATCAAATTGATTTGATAAGAGCCTCACTATCATATGGATACCCTAGTCGGGTAAAGGAAATGGTGAAACTTTGCCACCTTTAAGATGGCTCTTAGGTCCACCTACAGAGACATTACATAGGATTTAGCTGCACCTCCCCATACAGAAATACAGTATGTGAATATGGATTGACAAAGGGCGAAATATACGGCGCGTATAATTTTATATTCAGCAATTTGGCGAAGTATTCTAAAGACGTATATGAGTTTACGTGCACGAGCCGTAAGTTGTTCAATATGAGGCCTAAAAGATAGGTTCTGGTCAATAATTATTCTCAATCTAATTTTGTCAACAGTTTCTAATCCGGTACAACTACATGCATTTACCAGATCGCAGGTATGAGCTATAAGCGAAAGGTTTTCATCTAAGGGGAGAGAGAACATTACGGATTGAAAATGTTACATATTTAGTTTTATCGATATTAATCGTTAGCAAGTTCCCACTTAGCCACTTAAGAACTCTATTTAATCCAGATTGTGCACAAACAAACGTATCTTTCCAATTATCACCGCTGAAAACCAAAGCTGTATCAAAGGACAAAATTCTCCTATTAGATACCTTCATGGAAAACAGATCATTGATGTAAACCAAAAATAAAGTTGGACCCAGTATACTGCCTTGAGGTATTCTGTACGTTATTGTTTCTTCATCACTGGTATGCTCTCCTATTTTAACGCATTGTGTTCTACCTGTGAGATAACTTTTAAACAGATCTAGCTGTAAATTCATGACACCAAGCCCCTCAAGTTTATTTATCAAAAGTGGGATAGAGACAGTGTCAAATGCCTTAGCTAAGTCCAGGAATATCGCGAGACATTTTTTGCCATCATCCATCCCCCGAAATATACGATCTATGAGCTCGTGAACCGCATCATCTGTAGACCTACCAGCACGAAAACCATATTGTTGCTCTGAAAGAAGCTTGTTTGTTTCAAGGTAGTTCACAAGTCTTTTGTTAATAACACGTTCCAGAATTTTTGATAGAGATGTTAAAATTGATATGGGTCGGTAGTTTGAGATAATGCCTCTATCACCACTTTTGAAAATGTAAATTAAAAGCGCGAGGAAAGATGCCAGTAGAAAGGCAAATGTTGCATAGGTATGTTATCGGGGGAACAAGTATGTCTCTGTAGGTCTTTAGCAAGTCACCTGATATACCGTCCCATCCTGTAGCACAATTGTTTTTTAATGACATAATGAGATTATGTACCTCCTCGTAATCAGTATCTAGCATAACAAATGATTTATTTGTAGTTTGATTTATATCAGGTTTATTGTAATTGCTTAGCAAAATTTTGTTAGCTAATTTCACACCAACGTTAGTATAATATTTATTAACTTCATTAACAGATTCTACCAGAGTGAAAAGGTGTCCCAGCAAATCGTTTGACTCTAAACTATGCTTATTGAGATGTGTTGCACTTTTTACTACTTCCCATATCTTTTTACTGTTATTGCCGGCTTTTTGAAGTTCATTGCTTTGATACCGTATTTTAAGTTTTTTAAGAATATCATTACAGAAATTGCGATATCTACCATATGTTATTTTTAGGGTTTCATTATCGGGTGTTAGTTTAAGTTTCTTATGTAGTTTATCACGATTTATCATGCATTTTAAGATGCCAGGAGTTATCCATGGAAAGAATGTGGCTTTACGATGGGACAATCTTATATTTTTAGTGTTGTTTTACAGTGCTTTTGATAAAGTTTCTACTAAGAAATTTGCTACTTCTTCAGGATTATTATTGTCATATATTTGAACAAAATTTGCGTCTAATAAAAACTGCTTAAGACCAACGCGATCAATTTTTCGAATAAATCTGTTAAAATAGCATTTAGGTTGTTTGATTTTAAGACTAAGGCTTACAGCTTCATGATCAGTTAAACAAGTTTGTATAACAAATGATTTAGCGGGCTGACGTGTTTTGAGTAATAAATGATCAATACATGTGAACATTGGAGTTGACGACATAAAAGCTGGAAGAAGTCCATGGGATGCTGTTAAATTTATATTGTTCGGCTTGCTGGTTGGTTGGTTGGTTATCAGGGGAGATATCTATATTAATATCGCCCATTAGGCCGATATTTTTGAAGCATTTTAGTTCAGTGAGAAGTTGGTTCAAGGATGAAAAAAATTTTGTTGCATCGTTTTTAAAGCAGTATGGACGATAAATCCCTATCACTACTGTATGTGTTCCAAATTTAATTATCAAGCAGTTAGCTTCTTGGAAAGTAGGCTCTTCAACGGTGCATTTCAAGTTATCTTTAATATAGATCAGCACTCCGTCGTTCTGATTGTAAGTTTTTTTCGTGGCATGAGAAGAATACGATTCTAATAAAGGTATTGGACCAGAGCAGGACAGCCAACATTCAGTTAGGATAATTAGATCAAAATCTACATGCATCCTTTTTATAAGCACAGTTAAACCATCAAAGTTTCGTTTTATGCTTCGAATATTTTGACATAGAATATTTGTGTAGTTTTTTGGTTGACTTATTATTGGGCATACATCCTCAGGATTGCAAATATAAAATTCTGAATTTGTAATATCATCTAGATTATTTGATATTTCATTTATGTTAGCCTTTTATGTATATTTATTAATAGGTGACGAAATGATTGCAAGCACGTCATACTATTAGTCTTAAGATGGCCTAATATTTTATACCGCATCTTATTATTAAGGTTATGATAAACTATTTTAATTCCTAACATATAAATAATCAAATAGTAACAAGTTATTTTATACAATATTATTTTTTACAGTTCATGACAAAGTAAAAACTCTGGGACTTAATATAATTTGTGTTGTATAGTCTTTGTTTAGTAAGAAAGTGAGTAAATTGTGATTGTTGATTAAGTTTGATCTTAAGTAAACAAGTTGTGGTATGCATTAAATGATTGTGAGTTATGTGTGGGAGTGTATATGAAATAGTGTAGGTTATGTTTATTAAAAAAGAGGATAGCTTAGTGTATATTTTCTTAAACTTAACTAATTTAACATAAGAGTATTCTAGGATAAGTAATATTATAAAACATCTTACGTCTAGTCACTTAGTATTTCTAAATTCGGAGAGCTGGGATTCGTTTCTTATGAGAATGTGTGGATCTCCTTCTTTACGGCGCAAGTACACATTGTCGTTTGACGTCCAACAATATGAGTAACCCATAGTTTTGGCTATATCTGTTGCAAGAAAGTATAGTCTTTTAGATTTTGTTGTCAGATGTTCACTTACGTAAATTGATGATTTAACATTCATAATTCCCATATGATTACAGTTAAGTGAGTTTTAAGGATTGTCTTTAATGTAGCGTTTTACTGCATCAATTACCTGACTCTTATGTAGACTACTCCCTAATTCAGCTACGATTGTGGAGGATGTTGTATCAGCCTTGCTTGGCAGACGATAAAAATCACGAAGATTATTTTGTTCCATAAAAAGCAAGGGTAGGTACATATTTAAATAAAGTCTCCCTATTTTCAACTCTTATTTTCGGAACATTACGTATCTCAATACTCGTCTTGCGAATGTATTTCTCCAAGACGTCGAATTTGGTAT